TGTGCTGGCGGACGTAAGTAAAATGGGCGAACGAGAGATAGCTATCAGCTAGGTCAATTGGGTGCTGATCAAAGCGAAATCCGATAACGGAACATTCGCCAGACAGTGATAACCCAGAGGACCCACAAGTAACCCTTCGAATTCCATTTTTTTGCTAACGGTTGAGATGCTACGCTATATAGAGCCTCCTACATTGGAGGTTCGGGCCCGACTTGTGCTAACAACTGAGCTGTTTTGTGAGCCTTGTCTTGCTACCGAGACTCCCGATACTTTAATCCCTATTCCCCTTATCCTCGGGAATACTCAATTCCTATAGGCTATTGTGTCAATTTCTCGCCTTTCGTACGCAGTTATACATCAGACCGAGACATAAAACGCCTTTCTGTTACATCCGATCACTTTTTCGAAATACTTATAATACCCGCATGTATTCTACTCATTTTTGTTAGTTAACGACAGCGCACAGGTGGTGGGACATCGTTAATTTACGCTTTAAGAAGTCGGCGCCTCCTCCACATCAACGTAGGAATCAAATTGCATACGGTGTTCACTGGTGAAGATGAAAACAGGTGGCCAGGGGTGAGGTTTTTCGGGCTTAGTTTGCAGTTGGAGACCGCTGGAATGAAGACGCAATCGACACAAGCGGCAGAAATATGGAGGAAAAGTGGGGAAGTCACGAATGATTCTTTGGTTATATTCAGAAGATAAGGGCGTGATGAAACTAAAACGCAATCAAAACGGTCGTTCGTCAAACCAGGGACCACCTGCCCAGCATCACACCCCTGGGAAAAGCCGATCGTGCCCCTTTGTAACACCTCTTCCACATCTGTAGTATAGACCCTAGTCGGCTAAATTTTCGAAGTCAGAAAGTTTTTGTAAGAGATTCCATTAATACCGTCCCCATCCCCGGCTGTACACGTCTTCTGTCCTGGGAACACTGGATGGTCGACGAGGAAAACACATAAGCAGTTAGAATTTCAGCTAAAACGTGACCGGATAGAAAATATTTTCGGATGACGTCCTAGTCCAAATCACGCACATGAAGATAGCTCCTCTGGGGAGGATCGAGGCCGATGACATGACAGACAACTCCAAAAAATGTTTCCCCACAGTCGGTTGCGCCTTAAATGCGTCTGACCAGAACGGGGTTAGATTGGCTCACGGGACACGTCCAGTGGGCTGCGCCGAGTCCGCGCAAGCCCATAATTACTGCCACGTGATGTAGGCCTCCACACCGCGTCAGCAAATGTCTTCTCACTGGAGAAGCTAATGGCCGTCGGTCTAAGTAATGGCGTTCAGGAACTAGACTAGATGAGCTATGCATAGTTTAAGGTTGGGAGAAATCAAACCCAAAAATAGGACCAGGGGATTAAGACCAACTAGCAAGCAGTTAAATTTCACCGGCATATCCTGCGATTTCGCCTTGACGAATTGAGGCATGGTAAGAACCCCAAAACAGATTGACCACCCAGACTTCCGAGAAGCAAGTTAGAATGACGTAAAAATAGTGACATTAACTGTCGAATTTTTAAAAATGGATAGATGCAGGCAAACCCGATGAATAAAAAGATGCACTGTTGTAAATAAAATACAAATGTGTACAAATAAATGTACAGAATGAGCAAACAATATTACGTCTTTGTTTTCTGGAATGCAAATATACAATACAGACTGAATACCTCCCACTCGGGATAGGAGATTGTGCCGATGAGCTGGTTGGTGGTAGCCAGGCGACCTTTAACTGCTTCTTCAACGTGGCGATAGGCACCAGCCTCCGATGAACCAGCCAGAGGGCAGTGGTTAGACATGGTAGGTGAGTTATATGTATCCAACCGACTGTGGGCGGGAGAATGTGACGAGCTGAATCTATCATCACGAGCACCGGGACGGTCATCTGGACGCCAGGCAGCATCCTTGCGATCATCATGGTTTCGGTCACGAGGATAATGTGTGTGCAAAGGTTGATTGTCATAAAAAAATTGCCTGTTGTCTAGACTGTTTCCATGCCGGCAATTTTGACCACTAGAAGGGTCGACAGAATCATGCACTGAACGTTCCACGGAGCCGCAGTTAGGCGGAAGGTCGTCGGAGTGATCTGAGGCTGTGTTGCGCGGTCGCCATCCTATCGGACTTCTATCGCGGGAGGGTGAACGGCGAGTACGGCGCATCTTCCTTTTATAGCCGTCATCCGTATGACCACGACGAGCAGAATGGCCTAACTGAGCTTGAGAGGGATCAGTCCAACTCTCCAGGGCATCCATAATAGAGAGCAGATGAAAAGATGCCTGATTGCGTTGTGTCTCATCTTGTAAGTGCTTCGGAAATGATAGAGGACCAACTAAATGGGTCAAATTGAGTTCGGTGGCCATTGTCTTTAGTAAAAGTGGATGAACAAGATATTCTGGACAATCGACAACACCCTCAAGTTGGAATGTGTAACGGGCACCGAAAAGGGGTAGCGCATTAGGCTCACGAGTAGGGCCGTTGACGTCAAATTTGATGGAGTACACCGAGTTTCCAAATGTTACGGGTCCTTCTGTAGTCGTTTTAACTTGGTTAAAACGACGAACTAGCTCGTAGGCATTTGGAAGCGTGGCAACAAAAAAACCATTTTCACTAAGTGCAGAGCTAATGTTCCGGAGCATTGAACTCGCCTTAAAGTAATAAAAAAACAGGTAAATAGACAGGAAACAGACAAAGGAGAAAAGGAGGGAGAAGTTCATGGAAGTGCCAAATTATAGGGGTGAATACCACAAACGGTACTGATCTTAGGGGAATCGCATCTCGGTTATATAAGCTAGGATCGTGTACACTACAAAGCGTGGATATCTACAGTTATTATCAAAAAGGACAAGTAGACGGAGACCCACAAAGCCAAAACTGGTAAGCAATTGGAAGGTAGACTGAAATAGGGGCTGATGTGAGAACAGCTTTTCCTAGGACTGCACGCCGACTCACCTGCGAATAGCTCCCAAAGGCATAATGAAGAGAAAATTGACAGCTGACTAAGTCGAACTTTTCCGTAAAATCGATGGGCGTTGTGCAGTCGTGTACAATAAAATCAGCTGAGAAGATTTGCCGGCGCCTGTTTTTTGCTCTTAACGTGTGGTATCTGTCTTTGCAAACATCAATTGACGCGGAAGATATGTCCACAAATGTGACATGACTGACATCGCCTTTGAGCCACTTCATTTGATCGCCGCCTTTGCCGCAACAAAAATCAAGGACCCGGACGTTTCCCCCTCTCTTTTGCTTTCGTATTCTTTCTAAGTACTCAGCAATGATGGTGCTTTTGACCCAGTTATTGAGATTTCGCAAAAAATATATACGAGATCGACTCCGTAACTCGAGGGAAATGTTTGAGGAAGCACGGGCGTTTGCATCATAGAAAGTGCGCACATTTTCGTTATTAGGGATTGTGTGTGAGGAAGCTGGAGACGTGGCGTCTTCTACTCTTCCACTATCCATCTGACCCAATGTAGCGATTGGGCCTGTCAGTAAGTGAGCCCGACTTTACCTTTTCCGTCCCAATTTCAGCTTAGTAAAATATCGCTAACACAACCACCGACATCTCACACAGTTCTTTATGCCTTCATCAAATTCAGATATTTAAGAAATCGAGTCCGGCAAACGTGCACTTTCGATTGTTCCTCATTAGGCCTGTACAGTAGTTTAAGGGAGGACAGAATAACAAAAGTTGAACAACCAATAAATGTCCGTATGGGGGAGAGGGTTGAGGGGCGTTCATAGGTCAGGGGTCAGATTCTACGTCAGTCAGGGGCTTAGGGAGGGCGATGAGGAAGGTGTCTCGCGATTATCTGTCCCGGTTTCCTGGCTGTGACGCGAATTGGCGGGTGTGATTACCTATACTGGGTTCGTCGTTGCCAAGGGCAGCCTTAACCCTTATACAAAAGCTTTATGCGAACGCAAGGCTTAGTTGGCTAACCACATGGTCACCGCCGCTACTGTCGCAGGTATTCGTTGACGCAGGAATTTGGGGTGTCCTCCGCACTTTAGAGATGGATCGGAATCCTTGGTTGATGTCCACCGGTGGCCACTGTCTACCAGGTGGACTACAATTGCGCTAGAGATGGACTTTTCCCCACATTGATTTAGGCAGACAGGATAACGCCCTCGCATCCGCTTGGATAGATGTCTAGATGTTCGGTTAATATAGCCTGCCCCAGAGGAGCGAGTGAAGACGTAGATGCACACTGAAGAGATCTGAAAAGACAGTATATTCTTACGTCCAAGACAAAGAAGCGGAATGCCTGTGAAAACCAGTCTTATCCTAGCGGTTGGGTACGTGTGCGCGATAGCAGCGATTCGGTGTTTTTGTCAATCTCATGTCTCGGGACCTGATGGTGTCGCAGTAAACATTTTAAAACCAGACGCAAATGAATTTTTGCCGTCCCTCCTGTGCAAGATATTTAATGTCGTCCTTGGAAGTGAAACCCATCCATTGGTCACACTTCCCGACAAGAGGGGGTGACGTCGAAAATAAAGGAGAATCTTAGACTGGAAAGGAGACTGGAAAAAGTGCGCCAGATGTCAACAACCAGGGCATTTTAATGACTTTAAAAACATAGAAATATATGTCGGAGTCTTCCGAGGAAGGAACCGACAGAATTTGCTTCATAAATACTCCAAAATATCCTGCGAAATTCAGAAAAGTTCTTGGAATTAAGAATAAGGCGAAACGCAACCGGGACTGTATTCCCTGTCTAAAAGATCGCCAGGTGAATCAAGGTGAATCTGCTATCCCATTTCTTTACGTCTGTGTATACCGAGGAGCAGGCTTTTGATGAAATGGTTTACCCTCCAATTGTCAAATCAAGAAATACAAGTAGCACGGTACCTTCACAACAGGCAGGCAAAGGAAAACTTTGAGTTAACTACAGCCCATTCAAACTACCCAATTACTACCCAATCATTACTACCCCATTACTATCTAATCAGACCGTGTAAATTCTTCATTGAAATCTATAGTATATTTTTCATCGATATTCTGCAAAGAATTCAATTTAAGAACTAGTTTGACGCGTTCACAAGAGCAAAAGGCATCAAATTTTCAAAATTTCAGCAAAGTTCGGAGTCGCTCGGAGAGTTTTGGTACTTCTGTATGAAAGAGGCTATGGCCTCTACCCTAATAATCCATCATCTGTCACTTTTCACTGGTGGTCTCTTCAGTCCTTGAATTATCTTGATTTGCACACGCAAAGAGTCCCCTCCATCTGGACGTTAATTTCTGAGGAAATTAAAAACCTGCAATTTTAGATTCTTCGTCGAGCGTTCATTCCTGACTACCGTATACGAATAGTTCTGGAACCATTGCAAAGCACGTAGAACGACCGGGTTTATTCTCCGAAATTTTAAAACTAGGGACATTAGAATGCGCCTTTTCAACATGTACGTTAGACCTGGTCTGGAATACTGTTCGTTTTCATTTAGCCTCATGCGTGCTACTGAGCGGAAGAAAATAGAACCCGTTCAACACTTTTTTACCAAGAGAATTTTAACCCCGGAACACCGACATTTGTCTTACCAAGAACGTTGCCGGCTTACAGGCCTCGATCCTTTATGGTTCCGTAGATTACAGAAGGGACTATTTTTGCTATTTAAACTCTTATATAATCACACATTTAACCCACTCACCTCTTTAAGACATCATATTCACCCACGACGTAACAGTCACCGTGAGGTCTTTTTATTTCTGCCTCTACTTTGGCTATCCCCAACTTCATGAAAGGAAGTTGACGTCCGATAATCTCCGATACCGTGCAACCTCCTCCCCTTCTTGACGGTCGATATTCTACCACCGCCGGCAGTTTTTTCTCCTGAGCCCTCCAAACCATGAAAACCACCATCAACTATATTTTTATCCCTTTAGCTCAGGAGTTTTTTTCACTGCTGGTCGGATTTATGCTTAATTGCCTCCCTTGACAATGCCTGTAAACTGGCGTTAAATAAAAAAATTTAAAATTTAATTTAATACTTATTCCTCAAAAAAACCGATTTAAAACTCTCCTGAACCGCGCGCCTTTCTAAGTCAGATATAATGGCTCCCCGCAGTTTACCATTGCCAGTAACTATGACGGCGCAGCATCCCAGTCGGTTGGCACAGTCGTCGATGTAGACTGGCAGGAGCAACAGCCGTAAGACTAAGCTCTGGGGACACCAACTAGAATAGGGTAGGGGATGACTTCGAGACATCAATGCACAGGGTTTGTGATCTCCCTGTAAAAAACTCTGTGATCCGTGGTAAAAGCTTTCCACCTATTCCAATTTCAGACAATTTATTGATTAGACATTTTTCTCGGATGCTCTCCGACGCCCTATTGAAATCCGTGCAGATGACATCGCCCCTACCACCCTCGTCCAGTACAAGAGTCCACCGCGGTGTCGACAGCGATAAACCGGAAAGGGATGAGTGGTTCTGTCGGGCGTCGTGCTGAAGTCCCGAAAGTAATTGATTCTCCTCCAGGAACCTCTTTGCTTCTTTTTAAAATATGGTTTACATTATTTTATAGAAAATGCCGGTAAGACTGACAGGCCGGTATTTGTTAGCACTGGTTCGAGCCCCATCGTTGCGTATAGGGCAGATATTTGTGGTTTTCCATTCGCACAGCAGCCTCGCTAATTTGAATGCGAATGGAAGTTGTACGCTAGTGTTTTGATGAGTTCGTTTACCAAATCTCTCAAGAATTTGGCAGGTAGGTTGTCCGGACCCAATGACTTTGCCACTTTTATATTTCGCAACCGTCTTTGCACGAGCAATATCGGACAGTGTATAAATTCGAGCCTGAAACCGACGGTCACAGCTGCATTGTTAATATTGAGATCCTGAAACTCCGATTCCCAGTGAATACCGACACAAAGAACTGTCCAAGTATTCGGCCTTCTCGCCATTTTCATTGATTTCTACACCATTACCATCCTTTAGTGCTGCGACCGGGTTCTTATTTTTAGTCGGCCGCTAATACAGCGGAATAAAATCTTGCGCTTTTGTTCAGCCTGGTAGATCATTCTGGACTCACAGTCCTTCCTTGCCTGACCGATGAATTGTTGACCGCATTTCGTTGACGACAAAACTCCTTGATGTGTACTGGTGACTCATTTTCCTTGAATATCATCCTTTTTTATTTTGCTTCCTCAACTTTCTATTCAGGCCTTTAGTTAACCAGACAGGGCGTCTGTTCGTGTACGGACCATCACTGACAATAAAGCCGAATCGGATCGAGTGAAATAATAATTTTTTATTAAAGACCAGTCGGGGTCCCATCAAAGCAAGTAAAAATAAATTTACATGCGCATTTTAGACGAGATAGGCAAAATCAGTACAAAGTGCAATTAATCGTTTTGGGTTAGTAGTCCGTTAAGAAAAATGATTGGCGAGGGGTAAAAAAACTCCACACGAAAATTAAAAAATGACTGGATTAATTTTACAGGAGAAAAAAACCCCTCGATAAAAAAGCAATAACAGACAAATTCGGGCAGGACTGGCCTGCATGTGGCGGTATATAATGGATTATAATCGGACATCGTCAGGGCAGAAATAAATGTCAGCTGTATATGGCATTGTATAACGGATTTCATGAAGGGGTAAGTAGGCGGGACAGTCAGGACTGGCCTGTATGTGGCCTTGAATAAGGCAAATAAGTGGCGAAATTGAAAACCAGTCTCGAGGCGGTAGGAACCCCGATGCGGTCGGTTACATTCATCCGAGTCCATCCGAGCATGGGGCAAGGGAGATGCGACCAGACTACTAGTATATGGCTAATACAAAAGGTTTCGCCAAGAGCGTCGATGGAGCGCATTTATCTGAGTAGGAGATATTTGGATGTTCCCTATCTAAACGTTTTTTAGAAAAAACGTCTTTGTACATTTTCAATTTTTAAACGACTAGCCTCATTCATCAAACCAAAGAATGGGCAACAATGCTCGAGAATGGGAAGTACAAACATACGATAGAGCCTTAACTTAATTTCAGGAAGATAGAAATTGTAAGAAATAAAGCCACAAATCTGGGCAGCTTTGACTGTAATTCTGTCAGCGTGTGGCGAGAGATCAAGATTAGTAGTGTAGCTTAAACGTAAATCCTTGATGGTGGTACATTTAATCATAGGTGTGCCTTAAAAGAGCACTGGTTGGGGTAGCCTATCAGGTCCAAAACACATATAGCGGCATTTAGA